TCCACTGTCCTTAGTCCAAATTTTATCTTGATTAAATTGGATAAAAAATGATAGTTCAGTGGTTAGGATGATGTACTTTCAGGTATTAGAGCTGGATTCAATTCTTATCGAGAGGTATGTAAGAGAGATTTTACCCACATTTATGTGGGATATACTGCATGGGTTGTATCTTTTATTTTTTTTAAAAAAAAAATATCCACTCCTTCAAGTTAAAATCCTGAAAAGCCCAAAATCATTACAAAATTGAACAAATACTACACGTGATAAGCACATAGAGAGGACTACCAAAATCCAAATAACATTCTCTAATTATAGTATATACTAGGGGCATAATACGCGCTTCGCGCGTGCTTGTAATTTTAAAATAAAAAAATGTATAGTTAATATGAACCAAAAGGAAAGAATATACTTAATTGAAAGAAATAGACATTATAGAAGTGAAATTTTGGTATAATAATGAAAATATACTTATAATGTTTCTAAAATATGCATGTGCTATGATGAAATTACCCAAACAAAATATTGTTGTGCATGGAAGAAAAAAGAATCTCAACTAATAGAGAGGAACAAATATTATGCTAACTCAAATTTCTTTGTAGTGATGTGGATAGTTAAATTCTTGATTATTTAAAACACTTCAAATATCTAATTCACTATATACTCACTTATAACTTTCATATTTATTTTCTGAGGGATGCAATTTGATTGCATCTTTGTATTTTGTAACAAATGATTTTTTATTTTTTTTCTTAACTATATACATACACTAATTAAAAGTGGCTAATAATAATAAATTAAATAAAAAAAGAAAAATAACATTGAACTATAGATTATAAGACTCAAAAAAGGGTAGAGCCCACCTTTGATGTCGTTGGAACCTTCTCTGAGACAATCCTTCAACATCATCCAGAGAGAAAGATAAGTGTGGAGAAAAACTTGAATCTCTTCACTCAAAATTAGAGGAAAAACACAGGTAAACTAATATAACAATCATATGTGTAAATAAATTAATTAACAACAAATTATAAATTAATTATGTATTTCTCTAAACATGTACATTAAGAGAAACCAAAAGCAAATCGAATTTACAAACAGTAAAATTTATTTAAAGACTCTTCAAAATTTCATTAATCTTCATGCTCATTTCTAATATGCTAAAAAAATTTCAGAATACTAACCTGATATGTGAATAAGACATGGCTCATGCCATCACGATGAATACAATGCACGAGGCTATCATCCAATCAAATTTTTCTTTATATAATATTATACAAATTTTATAAAAGAAATTTGTTCATAATAGACAAATTTTGACTCACGACTACATTATAAAATTTATATTATATAAACGTGGCACTTTTGATTTCAACGACATAGTATTCCAAATGTGAGTAGAAAAAAAAAGATATATAAACTAAGTAATAAAATACAATCTAATTTATGCTTCACCCAGAAAAAGGAAGAACCTAAAAAAGAAAAACCGAATCAAGATAAAAACTAAATAATAGAAGAAAAAATAAAAAGATGAAGATGAACAATGAAAAATGACTATCTTCAAGAGACTTGTAATGCAGAGGTCACAAAACATAAAAAGCAAAGACTCTAAGAAAGAAAAAGAAAGATACGAAAAAAACTCATACACTATCTAGGACTATAGATATACTGAAAAATTAAGAATACAAGGAAGAAACATACTAAGGAATTCAATAAGATTAGAATCAGCAGAACTGTTTTTTGGCCTATCAAATCCACTTATTGATGAGAAATGAAAACATAATTTAATGGGAGGAAGATGAAAGGTGAAAAGTCTACAAAATATAATGCAAAGAACTATAAAATTTAAGTTAAAATCGTTACAACTACTTTTGTGATGTATCAAATTCTAACAATAATAAAAAGTAGTAAATTATCATAAGTTTTGTATGTTTCATTCTCTTCTAATATTTAATTTTTCACTAAACATTAAATTTCACACAAATACAATGAAAAATCAAAATAAATGTAAGAGGAAGGACTACCAAAACCAAGATTATATTCCCCAATTATAATATATGTTGATTAATTAATGATAAACAATAATAACTACACAAAGTGAATAAAGATTCAAACCATCTTGTTAGTATGTTTTAAAAAAATCATTTACATTGTAATATTCTTGTGCAAGTTTTTACATAAAGCGAAATTATTGCTTTCCAATTATGTCAGATTGCTCTTGAAATTACAAAAGGGAATGGAAGATAGAATAACTTCACAGCAAATGCATCATTTTAAGATAAATATTTTGTTCACATCATCATATTTTGCTAGTGTTTGGCTTGGACACAAGTAGTATATAGAATAATAAAACAAAGATTCTTTTGTCCAGGTGGTTAAAGTACAATACTAATAACAGTGTCATTCTAGTTTTTATGCTCCTCAACAATCATAAAGCAAACTCTCTATGATGTTGATATAGTTTTTAGCATCATGATTTCGTCACTTCCTAATTTACTAAACTAAACCAATAAGTTCTCACATGTTGACATCATCTAAGAGCCAAAAAAAAAAAGAAAAAGAAGGAAATATATATATATATATATAATTTTTTTATATGAAACCAACCAAAACAGGCTTCACGCTTTCGTCTCTAAACATACTGGTCATTGCTCAAAGGGTTAGTCTTTTTCTCCCATCAGGGTCTCTTTAGTCTCTCTTGTGTTTTCATGTCATTTTGTTGAACTTCCGGATTTCACTCCACACCACAAGGTTGTCTTGCCTACGGGTATTTGTTCGTTTTCTTGTGAAGAACTACATTTTTTTCTTCCTACGCAGAGCTACATTGTGTTTACGAAAATAGAAACAACTTTTGAAGAGTCATCACCACTCTCTTCTGACCATTGTCGATTCAAAACAGGAATCAATCCTCAAAAGTCCAATAACATAATGTTTGATCAATTTAAAACATAATATTGCACCAAATGATATCAATTGGAGAATGTACAATGGAGGAGATAGATTGGGGTCATACTTGAGGATACACTACAACCACATATGCTTCTTCTCCAGAAAAAGTTTAGGGCACGCATAGAACCACTATATGATTTTCTAAATGCCTCATCTTTAGAACATTGCATTCGTGAAGAGTATTAGCAAGTAAGAGATCAAGATCTTATTCTCGAAACTAACATTAACAATTCACCGGTTTGGTCCATTACATTTTTGTTTTTCACTAATTAGGTCATTTTTTATTTTTTTTACACTTTACATTTGGGGGTTCTTGGGTTGACCCTTTTTTGGGTTAAGGCAATAGGGGTATTTTAGGTAATTTTAAATTTATTTTTTAAAAATATAAAAAAATTTAATCAAAATAACATTAAAAATATTATATTGATTTATAATTAATTAATTCATTTTAAAAAATTGAATAATCAAAATTGAAAAAAATTAAAAATCTAATTTTTTTTTAAGTGTGGATCCCACCCCTTACGGTCCTTCTTCTTTCACTCTTATCCCCCTTTACTTTAAATCTTTTTCTTTCCCTTTGCTTTCTCCCTTATATATTCTCCATCTTTTTATCTGTCCGATTGGAATTAGGGTTCATGGCAAATTCGGCTTTTTAGATAGGTAACTGAAGGGGTTGGGAATGAGAATTTGACTTTTGACCGGGGGAAAGGGGGATAAAAGTAAAAGAAGAAATAACACCAGAGGTGGTGGTGTCCACGGGTTTAAAAAAAATGAGAAAATCATATTTATAATTTTTTTTATTTATAATTTTTGAATTTTTTAAAATGTCTTAGTTAATTGTAAATCAATATAATATTTTTAATATTATTTTAATCAAAAGTTTTTACATTTTTTAAAACCTAAAATTAAGCATTACCAAAAATATCCATGTTGAATTGACTTAAAATGGACAACCCAAGAACCCCCAAATGTAAGCTATAAAAAAAAAATAAGCAGGACTAAACTAGTGAAAAATACAAATGTAATGGACCAAACTAGTGAATTGTTAATGTTAAAGACCAAATTAAGTTTTTTGGTAAATGTAAAGGATTTTTTGAGGAGATTACTCGAATTTAGGACAAGGTGATTTAGGGAATAATGTTACATTTCAAAAATATATCGCTAGCCATATTCTTTGAGAAGTTGTTTGTTTATGCTCTTTCGATTTGTACCATACAAGAGTTTAAACTCTTTCAATTTGTACCAAATAATTTTACTTCCTTCTTAATCTTCACTACCATGGTTCATTAGGTATATAGACATGTACTCTATTAAAAATCTTTGTCAGTGATTTGGATCCTGCAACAGTAAAACTATAGACTATTGGTTTAAAGGTCGATCGATGATGAAATAAAATGAGAAACCAAGTTAAAGAGGTGATTGGTGCCATTTACACCATTTCTTTTAAGATCATCACTTAATTAAAGTTTAAAAGGTCTGTTGGTTACAAATATCTGCAATCCAGATGGAAAAATTTATACCATCGATGAGGCAAATGACTATACATTTAAAACTCGAACTGATACAAAACCAATTGATAGTCGTGCTATCAAGAAAATTTGGCCACAATATCCTTATATCCATGTGAATTTTAGACTAGTTTCGGTCGCACGGACACTTATGTAAGCTCTCAAACACACAATCACATAGTAGAAAGAAAAATTGGGTACGTCTTTTATTCCCAAATTTCTCACCTTTCTTTGTTGTCAACTTTATCGAACAGATGTCCAACAGCAACATGGCGTGACCGCTTCTTTTTACGTTTTCATTATCAGATGTTACTCTTTTCTTTCGTCATTTTCTCACCGATCTTTTATAAAATAGGCTGAGTACTCATCTTTGAAACTTACATTTAAATAGCAGACTCTAAGGAAATCACACCTCACATACTTATTTTTCTTCTTCTTCTCCCATTGCGTATAGCTGAAATCCTCCCATTAATATTTTCCTTTAACTCCACAAATCTTAAATAGTATCGACATCAAATCCCACAAATCTCTAATAGTCTTTCATCATCAATGCATGCGAATTCAAGTTCTTCACTAAGAACTGAAAACCCACAGGATCATCCAGAGGTGATTCTCAAGGAAAATTCCGAAGATCAAACAATTTTGCAGGCTAATGTTTCAGTTCAAGATTTGGATTCTTCACCAAGTGGAGGAAGAGGAGGCGGTAGTCATCAGTATCGGATTATCCGACATGAAAGATCCCGATTACCCGATAACAACATTAATCTAAACATAAGAAGATCTCATTCATCAGGAGCTAGAAGTTCATCAGCAAAAACTCAACATGGATTGAACACGTTGGTTTCGATTCCCCCACCACTACCACCACCATCACAAGGAAATGGGTTAGATTCATAATTCTTGGCGGTTATTTTCGTCTTGTTGAATTCTATAATTTTTTTTTAATTTTTTCTTTTTTGCACGGATTTCATTTTTGCACTGATCTGATGTTATTTTGTAGGATGCATGGAATAGTTAATGCTCATCAATTTTCTGCAGGATTGGGTTTGAATCCCTGTAACTCAAGCACTCAGGATTTGCAAAGGTTGATTTATGTAGTTTGGTGTCAATTTTAGCTTTTTGTTATTTGTTTCGTAATTGTTAGATTCTTTGAAGTTATGTTAACTGGATTTTCCTTTATTATTTTTCTGAATTTTTCCTGGCCAATTATAGATATTTATGTTCTTGTAATTAAGGCTCCTAGCCGCCAATAAAAAAATTTTAGATGTTTCTTAGTAGTCAAAACATATGTTAGATTTTTCCAAAAATATACTACACCGAGCAGCAGGTGTGTAGAATAATTGATCTATTTTACCATTATTTTCATTTTTAGGAGACACAACGGGAATATTTTAATAGGCAGTTACCCTATCTCCCTCGTTGATTCAACAAGGTAGATGACTAAGCACATATATCTTGAAAGAAACTATCAGTTATATTTATAGATGTTGCTTCATTTCCATTAATTGGTTATCAACAGACCTCAAAGAAGTGCTACATCTAGTTATGACCGGAATCAGAAATTGCAGCTGACTTCAGCAACTGATTTGCCTGTTCTTAATCAAGAAAGTGAAGCTCGAAATTCGCTACAAGGACACAACCATGGGATAGGTAATTACACAACCATTTGCATCGATTAAAAAGTTTTGTTATTGAATTTAGAATCATCAAAAGGAATAACTAAGCCCTTTTCTCATTTCTTTATTCAGGAAACATATTAAAATTTGCTAGAATGCTCACATTAACATTTACATCGATTGTGTTCTTTGATAATAAGGATTGCTTACATAGCTATCATTTTCTTATAGAACTATTTACATAATACTGTAAAAAAGAATTTATGAGCAAAAAAGTTATTGATAGAGTTAGTGTTTTATTTTATTTTGTTTCCCTCAAAATAGGTACAAATGAATGTTTGGGAGCTAGCTCATTCATAGATGGACAAAACATTCATGGCTCCCAAACAATCCATTCATCGAAAGTCCAAACTGCTATTGCTGGATCTCATGAAGTTGGCAGCTCCCTAGCGGCAACGTGCCGAGAGGCCGCGGATTTGGTTCTCATGTATCGGCACTTTTTAGATTTATTTCCTGAAGTTAAAAGTGGGTTGGACGAGGCTCAAATAGAAAAAGCTATTGAAGATTTAAAAACCTTGATAGAAACTCCTCAACAGATGAATCATGACAACCCAATTTCAGAACACTCCCAAATTGTTCTCTCTCCTTCCGGTCACAATCCTTCGATTGATTGCTATAGTTCAATCGAAAGTAAAAATAATAATGCTAAGAGCAAGCAAGAAGAAAGAGAAGGCAGAAGCAAGGATGCAACAACATTGGGAAATGAGGGAACCAAATTGACTTCGGAGGTGGAATCTAGTTTTGCCGGCCTTGTTCCATTCTTGATGAATGATGAATTTGAGGATCTAATTAAATGGCCTGACCCTGATTTCCTTAGCTATTCTGACCCTTACGGGTTTGATCCTTGATTATAATGGCTAGAGTTTGAACTTGTAAATTTTGTTGTGGTTCAATGTGTTTTGATCATAATAACGAACTTATATTTAGATATTTTTATTAACTTGTTTTGAAGTTTGAAGATTTAGTATGCATATACTATACAAACTACTTAGATGTTCCGTCATATTTCACAATTTTCACTAACAATTTAGTCCATTTTCCTTTCTCTCGCTGGTCGTTTTGCTGGCCAAGAATATGTTGCAATTAAGATTGCTCGGTTCAAGTCCCGTTGCATAAACCCAAATATTGATTGTTTACACAGGGGAAATAATCCATGAAGCGATCTGCACAATTCAATTCAAAAGTAGCCAATAAACCAACAAAATCCACCTTGTTCCTTAATTTCATTAGTAGATGCAGAAAAGGGTGTTCCGCAATTTTGTAACCCGACTGAATACCCTTTGCTCCGCAATTTTGTAACCCGACTGAATACCAACAATATTACCACAACTGACCCCACACTTATTACTTATTTCTGTTGATTTCCTTGTAATGTTAATTACATGAATGATATTTTCGATCATACCGTTCAAATTCACTGGAAGTTCATTTCTGATACCATCCATGACGTCAAAGCAATCAGTATTGTCAAACTACCACAATGTTTGCCCTTTCAAATCCATATGAATTGCGAGTTTGGCTGCTTGTCTCTTCAAAATCAATTGGCAGTTGACCCCATCATCATCAAAATCACTCACACAATTTAAGGGCATATTCGCCTTCCCCCTTAAACCCATTCAGTTCAAAGAAAAGTTAAAGATTCTGGAGCAAATGTTGTCGGATCAAGCACTTCAAAAGGTAGAAAACAATTCTCCTAAAGAACATCTATTTAAAATATAGAGAAAGACAAACAGTAAAGAGACCATGTCTTATGAGTGTACAAGAATCCATCCAAAATGTACATTCTAAGCAATTACGGTGACTAAACCTAACTTTTCTGTGTTCTTACACTCTTAGGTCTGGCTGAAGCTCATCACCGTCTCCTAGAATCACTGAATGATGAAGTCGTCTCTTGCCTTGGACCAGAATCAACATTGGTCGTATCATTGATTTCTCCTTCAAAGGGCTTGGAGTTTGAAACTTCTGGATGCTGATTGTTGGTTTCAACGGGTGATATGAGTTTCTAGCCTGTCTCTTTTTTCTGGCTTCTTTAGCATGGTTAGATTCCAAAAGTCCGATACATCCCAGTACCAAGAGGTTCCACAAAGCGGCATTGTGCATTTACAATCCTAAAAAAATGAGATGCCAACTACAACTAAGCGTTTGAGTTCAGATAATTGTAGAGCCAAAACCAACTACAAAAACTTAAAGAACCAAATTTTTGTAGTACGGAGACGCATTTCCTTAGGTTAGAGTTGAATTCAATTTTTTTGTTTTTTTTTTTTTGAATCTCTAATCAGTGGGGCGTTACGTTTATCTTGCCCTAATTTCTCTATTCATTTTACACTCGAAATTCAAACAACATGAAAAGAGAAGAAAGCTACAGAAAAAACTACCTGATAATCTACAGAGGACGCAATACTAGGAGCCTAATCAGAAGGATCAGACAAGCATTGCTCCTCTGACTTTGCCTCACATGTCAGTAGCAACTTGTACTTAAACACTTCATCGCCTTTGGATGTCTTAACTACTGCTTTATCCTGGAAATACAAGGATCATAACCAATCAGAGCCAACATCTAAAAGATTAATGCAACTTTGATGGAAAATAAAACTAATATTTGAATTTTTCTACGAGTATTAGAATCAAGCTATTCTGTTTCAGGAAAAACTCACAGCTATAGCTCTCTGATGCTGGCTCGGCTGATCCTTGAAATAACTAATATGCTCACACAGAATATCTAGCTTCTCTTGAATACTTGATCAAGATGGCCATCCATAAAGCCATTTTAACAAATTAATCTGGGATTTGATCAGAACGATTGGATTAAAAGTAAAACTGAAACAAAGAGTAATGTTTTGCTTCCTCATCCATGAAAAAAAAATCTTATACTACAACAGAACTGAGAAAATTTGCAAGAAAGAAAAACAGAAAAAATGAAGAAGAAGATGATTTCATTCAAAAGTAGGAAGAACATAAATCCATCTGCAGCATTCCCTAAAAACTGAATCCAACTGTCCTAATAGTGATTGCATCTTCACAGTTTCACCAACTACAATTTATTGCCCTAATATTTAAACTCCAAAAAAGAATAATCTTAACTGACAGCAAAAACAACACTATACAGCAGCAATTGCACCATTGAAACCAAAACTGTTGTCCACAAAATTGTTTGTCATACACCCAAATGCTTGGCTTCTTTCACCACTAAAACAATTGTCCATCAAGGGATCTCCATAATTCAATCCATAACTCAATCCATAATTCAACTCATAATATGAAGGATCAACAATCCCAGAACAACAGGTTGATAACGCCCCAAATTCTTCATTTTTGGCACTTGTGCTGGCTAGATCTGTTGTGCTGACGGCAAGTTTGCTGCAATGAACATCCCCAAATTCGAGCTCAGTTTGATTGCTTGATCTTGCAGGCATAAATTCAAATTCATGGTTTGTTTCTTCATCAATCAAATAGCTCATGAAGGGATCTGAACAATTTAACTCGTAATCATCAACCCTTAATGGCCCAGGTCCTTCAATTTTCCCACTTGTATTCGCCTCAGAGTTTGTCGTGAAGGGTTTTGTGACGCAGGAGGCAGACTGAAAACTACCACAAACATCATCATCGTCAAAATCATCCCCACCGATACCTATTCGAATTTCGCTCGAATCCCCGGTTAAAGTCAATCGGGGCACATTGATTTCATCAGATCTGGAACAACACTCAGTTTCTTCTGGTCGTTCAAGAAGTGTGGCCTTATCGTGAGCAAAGATTTCAGTTTGGCACCCAGACATCGATCCATTCGAGTCATTATGATTGTATGAGTTCAAGAGGGTTTCCATTGCAGACTCAGTATCGCCGTAGGAGAAGGGGTTTCCGGCCGGCGAGAAGACGAGAATCGCAATTTTGAATCCGCTCATCGATTCCAATTGCCGAGCTTTCTTAAATAACCCTTGTCTCCTTTTGGTGAAGGTGACGTTTCGGGATGATATTTCCTCAATTTTCCTGATCTCGATTTTCTTTCTCCCGTATCCCATATTTTGCCTTTTCTCTGTGATAGATTTTGCGATCTGACTTCTTTCCTAAAACAAAGCGTCCTAAAACAGAGAGAAACAGAGGGAATAAAAAGACGTAGCGAGAGTGGATTATTTATGCTTTGGAAACTTTCCAGACTGAGAATGAATGAATCTGAATGGATCTTAGAGACATATATATAGAGAGTCCAAAGGCGGCAACTCCTTGTAAACCTGTCTTCTACTCGGAAAAACACAAGTCTAAAAGTGTAATTATCTTAATAATAATAATACGTGAATTCATCCTCGGTTAAAAATTAATACTCCCACTTATTTATTTCATTAAGAACTGTATTATTTTTTCAAAAAAAATCTTTTGGCATTGATTAAATCAGAAAAATGTTGGAAGTAGATCATGTGTAACTAAATTATAGTACTGCGCTATATAATTTATCAATTGCATATACTTCCTCCGCCCTATAATTATTGTCCAGTTTGAGTTTTCATTTTTAGTTCAAATTATACTAAAAATGAAATTTTAAACTGGACAATAATTTTAAGACAGAGGTATCAACTTTTCTTTTTCTTTTCTGCTGCGTTCTGAAACCCTTGGATCAACCGCTTTAATTAATTAAGTACTTTTGGCTTAAAATTATGCAATTGGGAAAATGTTTATTTGTAAGAGAAAAAATATAGTTCAACTTTGAGTACATAATTGATATTAAGGTAATTTTTCATTTTTCCAAAATACCCCAAAATGGCTTGAATGGTTATCATCCAAACCAAAATTAATATTCCATTTATTCCAAAATAATTGTTTAGATTGAGTTTTTAATCTGTATCAAAATAAAATTTCAAAAACTAATAATCATTTCAAGATAGATGGTGTAAGTGATATTTCAACTAAGTACGACTTCCAAACCTTGCCAGCAAACGAAAGGGAGTACACTAAGACTTTCTTCTGTTTCTTTTCCCCAAAAAGGAAGCACAAGTGTAAGTTTTTTTTTTGAAAATGAATTTGTGTATTAATTAGAAGTATCTAAACTATTATGAAGACATGCATTATATGCTTGTGCAATTCTTCAACCTCATTCCTGCTAACTTTAATCAGTTTGAAGGATTCAAAGGTTGGGAATAAAGCTATTAGTAATGAAACTATCTCTTGTGCCTCACTCGAGACAAGAACATTTCTCAGATTAGTTGTCAACACTTAACAATCAATATACACTTTGACACGTGAAATACCAAGTGTTTATGTTTTGCGGAGTGCCATAAGACATGTCATGGCTTTCGTTTGAAAAGGTGAGAGTGCCTGCAATGAAATCAACTTTATTTGCGTAACCATACCCAAGTGATCTTCCATGCACCAACTGCCCTCTTAGTTCGCGGATGAAAAGAACCATCAAAGTGAATTGTTGCATGTGTATCTCTAGTCCCTTGAGTCAGGGTGGTGGACATATGATTTGGAACAGAGTGAAGTTGAGGGGTTCTCATCCTCTGTTGAGTATACTTATGTTGCATCAATTCACTTTGAATGATCCACCAAGAGATTACTGAATTAATGGTCTGGTTCCTCCATATCTTGTAATTCCTTTCAATCCATATTCTCCAAAAGATGAGTAGGAACAAGTCTATATCAACTGAGGAGGGGCGAGTCTGTATCCATTGGATGTACCACTCAAGTAAGGAAGCATTAGCACAATTAAGGATAGATTGGTACGAAGGATATGCAAAATTCCAAATGGCTTGAGAATTGGGACAGGTGAAAAATAGATGTAAACTATCTTCTTCCTGCGAACCACAACGAGGGCACCTTGTATCAACTTCCACTCCTCGTTTTTGCAAACCCATTTTTGTTGGAAGAGCATTGAGAACAGCTCTCCAGAAAAGTAGTTTCAGCTTTGGTTGAACTTTAGAATTCCACAAGCATTTCCAAGCTGCCATTTCATCTTGCTGGTGAGTTTGAGGTTGAATAGAGTCAGCAATGGTCAAATTTATGGCACTATGATACCTAGATTTGACCGTATAATTGCCATGCACTGTCTTGGCACTATGATACCCAGATTTGACCGTATAATTGCCATGCTCGGTCCTGTCCGGTAATGCCAAGTGATTTCAGACCAATCAGTCTGTGGTTTACAAGCTATTGCAGTAGACGTGGGTTTATCCATCTCTGATGGGGTTCCCGGCGTCACCTAAAAAAAAAAGAAAACAATTCAGGCTACTATTCCCAAAACTACAACCATTAATAGTAGAAGGGTTGTGGTAAAGAAGTAAAATGAGAACTCCATAGTAAACAATTCTGTTGATGAGTTTCTCAAACACATCACTTCAAAGCTACTTATTTTTAAACCACTTAAAAATATTAGTCGAACAAAACATTGAGAAATTGGGTAAATTCCTAAAGTCCAAAGAGCTCCCACAAAGAGACAATGCAAAAACCGATGACAGGACAACAACAACTAAGCCATTATCTCACTGTTTGGGTTCAGATAATTGGAGAGCCAAAGCCAAAGCCAAACCCAACTACAAAAACTGAAAGAACCAAACTTTTGGAGTATGGAAAAGAGTTTCAGATAAGAGTTCAATTTGATTATTTTTAGATATCTAATCAGTGGGGCTTTATGTTTATCTTGTGTTAATGTTATACAGGGCTCACTTCTCTACTGATTTAGCACTCTAAATATGAACAGGATAAAGGGTCAATAAAGCTTCAAATAAATACCTGATAATCAACAGAGGCCGCAATACTAGAAGCCCAATTCAGCGCCTTTGGATGTCTTAACTACTGCTTTATCATTGAAATACAAGGATCATAAACCCTTAAAGTCAAGTTCTATCAGCTCAATGCGAATTTGATGGAAAGCAAAACTAATATTTGGAGTTGTTCTACAAGTATTACCACCAAGCTACAAGGTCTGTTCTTCCTTTTCCTACAAAACTGAAAGCCATAGTTCTCAGATGCTGGCTCAGGCTAATCCTTGAAATACCTAATCTGTGCTCACATAATATTTAGCATCTCTTGCATGCATGTAAGCACCTGATCCTACAATACGGTTGAGCGGACAATTAAACTCCTCTCTTATAAAGCGTAAATAAGATAACCAAAGCACAAATACCTTCAATCAAGCCACCACCTCTTAGTGACTAGTGAGTGTCAATGAATGAATATGGTCTACAAAGATTTTCCCTTGAAGTAGTTTGAAAGTCAAAGTTCTGAAGTACGTAGAGCATATTCAGTTGCAGGTCACACTGAGTATTGGTTCCAAGTTTTAACTTTACAGCCTTTCTAAGAACTCAGAAAAAGTATGACTGTTGGGCTCCAAATTTAAAATCGTTTATTTTTTCAGAACAGAATGATGTTCTCAATTCTAATGGAAATACAATACTAAATTGACGCCCATTCTTAGAAAATTAAAAAGATCCAGTAAAAATTATACACAAGGGCTTTGATGGGAACAATTGAATGAAGAAAGAAAAAACCCATACTACTAGCATTACTACAGAATTGAGAAATTTGCTAGAAAGAAAAATAGATTAAATGAAGAAGAAGATGATTTCATTGAATGAAGGAATTACATAAATCCATCCATAGGATTTCCCAGAAACAGAATCCAACTGACCTTGAAATACAAATTAAGATACAGGTAATAGCGTAGTACCAGAAGAATGAACTTTACAGTTTCATCAACTAACTTAACGGCCTAATACTTATCTTCCGATTCAAGCATATACTTCAATGAGAGCAGCCCTATATAGCAGCTATCGCACCATTGAACCCAAAACTGTTTGCAGTATAGCCATATGGCTTCACTACTAAAACAATTGTCCATCAAGGGATTTCTGAAATTCAATGAAGGATCAACAATCCCAGAACAAGTTGATAAGGCCTCAAATTCTTCATCATTTTCACTTTCGCTGTTCACATTCCCCTGTTCGACCCCTGTTTGATTGCTTTATTTTGTGGGAATAAATCCAAATTCTTGGTTTTTTTCATCATTAATCAAATAGCTCATTAAGGGATCTGAACAATTCCATTTGCAATCATCGATAGTTATTGGTCCAGGCCCTTCTTCATTTTTTCCGAACTCAGTAAGAAAAGAATCCAGATTCAACTCCAAGTCAGTATCCTCGTTGGTCTCAAAACTAATGTCATCACAACCAGAGATCAGCGACCCAAGTTTTTCTCTTTCGCCAATTTCATTCGCCGATGAAGCAAAGGGCTTTTTGCAATCGGACCCAGACTGAAAACCATCAACAAAATCATCGTTATCACCCCCATCAATCCCAAAAATATTGCCAATTTCACTCGAATCCCCTGTTAACGCCAATTGGGGCACATTGATTTCAAACGATCTGGAACACTCAGTTTCTTCCTTTCGTTCAAGAAGTGTGGTATTATCATGAGCAAAGATTTCCGATTTGCACCCGGAGTTAGATCCATTCGAGTTCAGTATGATTGTAAGAGTTCATCTTGGAGAAGAAGAAGTTAGGGTTCTAGCAATTGCGAAAAAATTGTATATTCACGAATTCTATCAAAATCATGCATTCATTCTGTAGATTGTTCATATATATACCGTATTGACTTAGTCAAATACCCTAACTATCAAGTATTTACAAGACAGTCTCTGTATTAACAAAACTATAATATCAACTATACAATTGCTATACAAAAAAAAAGAATCATGTATCCCGGAAATCTAAGACTTCATTGGTCTGATTAGCTTCAACTCCGGATACATTCTGATTACTCAACACCCCCTCCTCAAGATGAGCTTGGGATAAGCCCATCTTGCCAAGAAGCACATCAAATGTAGCAAAGGGAAGGGACTTGGTCAACAAGTCTGCATGCTGGTGAGAGGAACTGATGTGATTAAGAGTGATGAATCCCTGTTTATAAAGGTCCCGAACTATATGACAGTCGATGTCAATATGCTTGGTGAGCTCATGGAAAACAAGATTGGCTGAAATGTGAATGGCAGCCCTGTTGTCACACCAAAAAGTAATAGGCAGAGAAGGTGTAAAATGAAGATCACGAAGAACAAAAGTAATCCATTGAAGTTCTCGGGCTGTAACCGCCATGGCCCTGTATTCTGCTTCAGCCGAGGAACTAGATACCGTGGTCTGTTTCTTGGTTTTCCAGGAAACCAAGCAATC